GGTGTGCACCAATCATTGTCCTTTTAAATTACTACTCCCTCCTTTTCTTTTTTCTTTTTCTTTTTATCTTTCCTTCCTTTTTAATTTAGTTGCCCCATTTATTAAATTTAGGTGTTTTAATTTAGTTGTTACACATTTTATTTATATGAGACATTAAATGCTATCATTCTAACTTTAACTTTATTACTCTAATCTTTTTATAAAGATGATAAAACTTTTATTAATGATAAATGTATCATTTTAACATCTAATTATAAAATTTGTGACTAATTTATAAATGGAATTACTGCTTATCCGCTTTACCTCAAAAAAATTAGGAGAAAAAAAGACAAAAATCACCTTAATGCATGCTTTAAAAATAAGGTAGTTTATCTTTTTCAATAAAAATTTATTGAAACGATATAATTTTGAGATAATTTCCCTCCTAAAGGCTGTAGGCACTATTTCCTTTATAAATTATCTAAATATATGTAAAATCAAAAAATTACACCATTAAAATGAAACGGATGAAGTATATGATACTAGTAGTTGAATTTCACATATTGTCAAAATTTTAATTTTTCTTTTTTTATGAATCAAAATATATCATTAATGAGAGTAAGGTACTCCAAATTGTACTCATACACAACGAGTTCCTATGAATTGCAAAAAAATTAAAACTTTCTAATAATTAAAATATCAAAACTAATAATGAAGAAACTTAAGAACCCTTAATAAATTAACACTCAAGGAAGATTTTCACTTTTCTCAACACTTTAAATACTTAAGTCTTAAAGTAAATAACTTTTTAAAAAAATAATTTAAAGGAAGAAAAAATGTGCTTATGCATCACAAAGAAAAAAAAAAGATATATATATGTCCAAGTGTGGTTCCAATCCAAATCAAAATGTATCCAAAATAAAGCACATGTGAATGGGCAATTAGTCCATCTTTCCCACGGAAAAAGGGGCCCAAATTAAATAGGACCCTTTCAGTTTTGACATATATAGTTTTCTATGGGACCCAAATGGCCTTGTTGTCTTTCTTTGGTACTTGAGGTATGGCAATCACCAAAATCAAAAGCACGTGTACAAGAAGCCAAATGACCCATGACATCATTGATGACATCATAGCTCCCATTGGACAACTATAAAAGGACCCTTAAGTTTTCCATTTCCAGCATCGAAACACATCACCTTCATACCCACAGAGATGAATTCTAAAGCTTACTTGCTAGTGTTGTTCCTCGGAGTGATGGTTCTTCTCACCACTCCGGCCTCCTTCGCCGATCACCATGAGCCTCCCAAAAAGGAACATAAGCCTCCCATTCATAAGCCTCCTTCTGCTGAAAGGAAGTTGGCTGCAGTGGAGGATGGCAAGCCTAAGCCACCTCCTAAACACAAGCCTCCAACACCACAAGACAACGACGATCACAAGCCATTCCCAGAACACAAGCCGCCTAAAGGTAAGGGAGAGGAGCCACCTCATGAGCACAAGCCTCCCCACAGGCGGTTGTTGGCAGAGGAAAATGTTGCTGAGGATTTGTACAAGCATGAGCCATCAAAGGGCAAGGGAGAGAAGCCTGAACATGGGCACAAGCCGCACCACCCTGGACATATGCTTGTAGAGGAGGAGGCTGAGAAGGATGAACATAAAAACCCATTTGGAAAACCACCAAAGGGAAAGGGAGAAAAGAAGCCCCCACACCACCCCGGACACATGTTGGCCGAGGAAGTCGAGGAAGAGGATTCACACAAACACCCATTTGGTAAACCACCAAAGGGTAAGGGTGAGAAGCCTCCACACCATGGCCACATGCTAGTAGAGGAGGAAGACCAACGCCCATTCGGAAAGCCACCAAAAGGAAAGAAGAAACCTCCACACCATCCAGGACACATGCTTGCAGAGGAAGTTGATGAGGAGGACTCATACAAACACCCATTTGGCAAACCACCAAAGGGTAAGGGAGAGAAGAAGCCTCCACACCACCCAGGACACATGCTGGCAGAGGAAGTCGAAGAGGATGACTTACACAAACACCCATTTGGTAAACCACCAAAGGGCAAGGGAGAGAAGAAACCCCCACACCACCCTGGACACATGCTAGAGGAAGTTGAGGAGGAGAACTCGCAGAAGCCACCACGCAAGTTGAAGCCATCTTTCCCTCCACACAAACCACCACACAAGCCTCCACAAGCCAATTAAGTGCACACATGAATACATATGCTTCTCTTTAATATCCTAAATCTTAACCTAGTTTACTGTAAAAATAAGAGCTTCTAGTATCCTTTGCTTAGCGTATGAACTATGTTGGCTGAGACTTGTTGGTCAGTATTGCAACTGGGTTGAGTCCATGTTGCACATTCCACGCATGAGAATGGGTTTGTCGTGTGTGTGCTTTAATTGTTTCTTCGTGTCTTATGAACAATATATAGACTTCTGTTTCTGTACCTCTTATCTCTTTACCATTTCCTTACTGCCTTAACTTTACATTCCCGCCGCATAATGAAATCCGTTGGCAGTCAACAACAAATGCAATAACCAAACAAATAAAAGAAAAACAAAGAAAAAGGAACCTTGCAATTTCATTTAGAAGTTCAGAAAACTTTAATTTATTAAAACTCATAAGAAGGTATAGTTCATACTTAAACCCTCTTTTTCTTTTCCTTAATTTACTTAAATGTCAATTTTGGCCCTCAACTTCAAGGTTTTATATAATTTTCATCTTTTAATTTTTTTATGCATTTTTTT